TATATATATATATATATATATATATATATATATATATATATATATGTGTATGTGTGTTTGTGTGTGTGTGTGGATTTACTTGAGCGTAGCTTAGTTGTGACACAAGGCCGTAAATCTAGAGCACCCACTGATGATCGAAGTCATTTTACAGTTAAATAATCTAACGAGACAACCTGGTCCAGTAGTTAGCAAGCTTATGTTAGTTGATCAGTTACAACTGAAAAGGGTTTGATCCTCACTGAGTGGCCACTACATTCACCCTTGAGCCACATCCAAGCTGGATTTAGAAAATCATTATATATATATATATATATGTGTGTGCGTGTGTGTTATTATATATATTATTATATATATTATTATACAATAGACCCCAAAATTGGTGCTACCCTCAGGATTGAACATTCACCTGTTGTGACATCATTTTGCTAACTGAATTCGGGCCTGGGTGCATATTTCTTCCTGGACGTTTTGTCATATATTCTATTATAATTATAAAAACTAAATTACCCCATTACTACATAAACCTTACTTTGAAGGTTACGTCTTTTCGGTTAATCTATCTTATTGGCTCCTGGTAATCTTACGGCTGGCGGCTTTTAGATTTTATGCGAAACACTCTCTAACACTAATCCGTTAAATAATTTCGACATTCTAGTTTAATAGAGGTTTATTAAACACCAAAGAATGTGCGAAAATTGTATATTATTTAATCTAGTGTGTGACTAAACATCTCGCCTGTAGTATATATATATATATATATATATATATATATATATATATATATATATATATATATATATACACACACAATTTTCGGAAAGGAAAAAATGTCTTTCGTAGTTTTATCAAATTGCGATAAGTTTTTTACTGTTTATCGCAGAAAAACAACTGCATTGGCGGCATTTAAACAAGAAATTGAACCTGCATTGGATACTTTGACCAAGGTTTCCAAAACTGTAGTTCACCGTATTAATAAATGTCTGGAAGCTAAAAGCCATCATTTTGAGCATGTTTAGTGATTATATAGTCCCAAGATAACTTGTAGTAATCTCGTGATGTTTGAATAAATTTGGTATTACAATATCTTTGCAAGTTTTTCCTTTGCTTAAGTGTATATACATTATTGTGGCGGACTCGACTCTCTCTCTCTCTCTCTCTCTCTCTCTCTCTATATATATATATATATATATATATATATATATATATATATATATATATATATATGAGCTTTGATGAAGACGCATGTTGAATGTTACGAGTATAATTTGCAATATAGTTAGATTTATTTCATTATCAGTGTGATTACCATACGTATTGTTGGTGACATTTCATATGTACTGGATCTTCTGTAGCGTGATGTTCAACAATTTTGACTCAATGGATGTTCCCCTAAAGGTACATTTTCTAAACTAATTAATTACTCAGTCATTCGATCCTGAATCAAGGTACAATTTTTTTTTTTAGGATTTAATAAACTGAGCCGATCTTTGTTAAATCTCTAAGACATGTGTAATGTTTGTATTTTTTTTTTTTGCGTTTATAGCATATCGTCATAAGTGCAAGGTCCCAATAGGTAAACTCCAGAGACAAATATGAAGCAATCTGGTTATAATTCTTTTTTTTTTTTTTTTCTCCCCGAAAGAGAACAAAAGCAAAACAAAGACCAGAAAGAACCTCAATAAATTGTCGCAGGCAAAGATGTGAAGAAAAACAAGTACGGGTTGAATCAAAGAGACACCAGAAAATATTCAACATGGCTGAACAGCGGACATACATAAAGTGAAAACAATAACAGATAATAACGACCCAAACAAAGCAATTACATCAAATAAAGCCAAGACGAAATAGCTAGCAAATGACAAATTAACCAAATTGAATATAATAAACAGTGAAAGATGTTACATTTTAAAAGAATAAATGAATGAGGCAGTTGTATTTGAAAATACAATAAATTTGAAACAAAGTACGTCGTGGTTTCCTTGCAAAAGCATTAATCTTTTGATTTTGAGTTCGGTGAGATAGTATAGGGTGTTCCAATAACTTGGACCGATTTTAAATTAAGTGGCTAACGATTTTTTTTCTTTTTCTTTCAGATTTAACGGACTTAAGTCTATGGCAGTTTCAACCAAGGAAAGATTAACAATCAAATAACGTGGTAAAGTTATCGAAGCCTATTACGAAAATGAATGTTCAAACTTATAAATACAAGGGCCATTGATTCCGCTAGTAGAAATTGCACATCAAATAGTGACCTTTTGTGGATGCAGTGGCTTTTTAACAATCTTTCTTGGATTTTCATCAACTCAAATGCGAAAATTCTGCTTATTAACGAATCAACCAAAATTAAAATGGGCTTCATCACTACAGAGGATTTTTTGCGAAAAATCTTCATCGGCTTGTCTTTGCTCTTGCACACAAGTAACGAATATACGGCGCTCCAAATTGTCAGCAGGTTTCAGTTCTTGCGTCAATTGAATTTTGTAAGCGTGTAGAGACAAACCTTTTGTCAAAATTCGATGTAACGTTGTTGTGTAGAGATTCAATTCCTGCGCGCGATATCGAATAAGGGTCTCTGTATTTTCGGACATATTCTCGTGAACTGCAGCAATGTTTTCAGCTGAACGGCTTAAACCAGCACGCAACGGCGTTTTCACATCCCAGTTTGTTTGAATTTACGAAAAATTTTTCCAATCGCACTCTTAGGAAAAATTAAACTTAATTCACACTTCGGTCCAAGTTATTAGAACACCCTATACATCATTGTCTGATGGTCTATTTTATTTTTGTGTATTTACAGAATGAACATCCTATCCGCATAATTTATCTTTGATATCAGCGAAATGTTTCTAATTTTAGAGGACACTGTACACTTTGAACTCAAGATAATATATGGTCGGCTTCGTTGCCTTTTTCATTAGTTTTTCTATTGTTGTGCTATCCACAAAGCCAAGGAAATCATTGAATAGTTTAAATAGCCTAAAATTATGCAAACCTTGCAAAGGGATATGGGGCCTCAGACAGCAAGAACAAATTTCAGGCCAGAACGCATTTTTGTATATTTACAGAACGAACGCACTATCCACATGATATTAGTTCTGGAATAGTCTTTCCCATATATATAAAGCTTTCTAGAAATTGTTTGAAAATGCATGAAATATCTGAATAATAGGTTTGCGCATTAATATGGTGTTAATCTTAGGTTGTCCCACATGAAATGACGCGCTTTATAGAAAAATGAACAAAACGTTTCTGAAATGTTAAATAACTAATTTATATAGACACAATATTGATGAACGACTGTTCTGCAACGTATTTCAAGATTCTTGATCACATCTTAAAAAAAAACAACTTCTCATCCTTTGATATGGTAAACAATTCAAATGTTTCGATTACCTCTTCCTTATTGGAGAATGTTTTTATTGCGTATGAAAAGCTCAAAATGCTTAAATAAGTAATAATCAGTTGGAGAGATATCAGGTGAATAGGGAGAATGAGGTAGAATTTCATAATTCAGGCAATGCATCCTTTGGACAGTTGATTGAAAAGTGTGCGGCCTTGCGTTGTGGTGCAGCAAAATTGCGCCATCCGTATTCAGGAAAATCTAGGATGCTTCTTTTTCGATTTTTCGTGCATCCACTCAATTTCTCCAAAATACGATGTTGCTGTTATTGTTATCCTTTTAGGCAATAATGAATAACTCCTTTGAAAAACACCATACAGTAGCCATTAACTTTTTAGTGTGCAGTGTATGTTTTGAGTATTGTTTTGGTGATTCACTTGCATCTAACCACTCTAGGCCTACTCTCATTCTGTTGTAAAAGAGCATCCATTTCTCATCGCATGCAATGCTTCGATGCAAATATGGTGCTTTTTTTCAAGTTTCTACTCATGCAGAAAGATTATTCAACATTGTTTCATTGTAATTATTTTCATTAGGCTTATGAGTAAGAATATATTGAAAGAAAAATTAGCTGGAAAAAAAAGAGTCATGAATAAGTCAAGATTTTTTTATATGCTAACGAGGTTACTTCGTTAGACAACCGGATCCACAAGCAACCAAAAAATGCATCATTTCATGTGTGACAACCTAATATATTCTTTCTTATCAATAGAATACATAATTTCTTTGTTTTTCATCATTAGCATTTCAGAATCGCCACTTCACCAATGTCTTTTCTTCTTTTGCTTGATGCATAGCAGTCGCATATCGCGAGCACAGTCTAGTAAATTCTTAGAATTGTTGTATAATATGTACTACAGCCATAGAAGTAAAGACTGTTTCTAGAGTAAGAAAACCTGACGATGTCCGTCTCTCACAATTTAGATATACGTTTAGATCAATTGCTTGTATTGATTCAAAGATTTGACACAATTGAAACGAATTAGAATCAGACCATATCCTCAACGATGCTTAGAACCGGTCTGTTACACAATTCATTTTCAATGGAAATTCTGAAAATCCCATTCTAAAAGTTGTACAAATTCTAAAGACAGATTCTTGTTAATCCAAATTCATACATTAGATAGCTTGGCTTTAATTTTACTGTTGTTAACGATCTTAGTTTCTGGCAATATCGTGTGTAGATGTCCGTATTTACAAACATCGGCACGTTTACACACATACAAAATTATCGGATTGGATCGAGGTCGATCCCAGCGTGCGACACCTTTGCAAAGTGCCTGAAAAATCATACCACGCCTTGTGAGTGAGATTGGATAGACGGAATTCTTGTGGGCCGTCGATAGCTGTGCTAGCACGATGCCACAAGTCATCGTGGCCGAGGGCTTCAGCATGCTAGACTTGCTCAAATTGTTGATCACGCTAGATAACACGCTCGCTCCCAGAAACTGTAACTAAGGTCTGCTCAGCATAGTTGCAGTATAAACCACAGGTGGGCTCTGTGGGTGTTGAGCAAACACAAATGTACCTGAGTAAGCGTCTGCAGTAGGGACTGGCTAGCCGCCCTAGTAGACAGGTATCCTCGAATACATGTGGCCAGGTATTATCTATCTATCTATCTATCTATCTATCTATCTATCTATCTATCTATCTATCACAATCATTTTGTGATATCAATCTACTTATTTATGTACTTATCTATCTATCTGCCAGTAATATTAATTTTATTTGATTATCTATCTATCTATCTATCTATCTATCTATCTATCTATCTATCTATCTATCAAATGCTACCAACAGTTTTAGAGAACCTTTTCTGAGAGAAATCAGAATATTTATAAAAAAGAAATTTGTTTGTTGATGGAATGAAAATAAGAGACGTTACGAGTCAAGAGAAATTCTGGATAATTTGTGAAACGCAAAAGCTGATCAATCTGTTGATAATGACAGAAACTTTATGTAGCATCTCGTATATATGTTTTTTTTTTTTTTATTTAAATGAAGCTCATAGGTAATTCAATACTCAGTGCACCACGATTATGAGGCATATTTTAAGCATGAATTAACCACTGCAAAACTTTCATTTTGGTTTTATTTTAAGCAAGAAATAGGAACTAAAGTTAGGATGCTTGTTTCCATTCGTAGTTGCATAATTAAAAGAAAAAAACGAATGATTTATTTTTTATGGAAATATGTTCACTAGCAGATGCTAGACTAGGTCCTTCCTTAATTTGAGTAAAACTGTGCGAAGAAGTTCGAAACGCTTAAGAATTTAAATCAAGGAACACAAATCGAGTTGATGATGTTTACAACGTAATAGCCAGTCGAGGCATAAAAAAAAAAAAAAATGTTTTTTCCCATATATTTTTCTTTGAATCAGATGTGTCCAGACAGGATGGAGTTGTGCTGTATCTATATTATTGCAGGCATTTTTTGTAGTTTTATTACCATTTGTTCAGCTATTCTCCTGTTTTACTCAAATGAAGGAGTGACCAAGTCTACCAACTGCTAGCCAAAATATTTCTTTTTTTTTCTTATTTTTTTAAATAGGGATTAAACTTGAGAATTTGCTAAGAATGCAAGTAGCAGGCTTCCGTCAGTCAGGGTTAACCATATGTAGCATCTTAGTTGTCTGCTTGGTTGGAGCATCGACGTCTGTGACTGTAGTGTTTGATACTGATTTCTGTTGCAGAGGTGGCATGTGTGTTCTGTCTCTGGTCTGTTGAAGCTGTCACTTTCCTTTCCCCGGTCCCGCCTTTCCGTGGCGACTTGTGTCAGCTTCTCCTCCCCTGACTTGAGGTGTTTGGTCAGGGTTCCTCTCCACTTAGATCGTATGGCTGCCTGGCTCTCCCAGGACTTGTTGATGTCCACTGCTTTCACAACATCGAGATACCGCAGCTGTGGCCGCCCGGCGGGTATTCTTCCAGAAGCCAAGTCTCCATACAGGAGGTGGTTGGGGATGCGGCCGTCTAGAATGCGGTGGAAGTTACCAAACCAACGGATTCTGCACTGTCTGAGCAGTGTGAACCTCCTTGGCAGACTACGCTTGGCTAAAAGTTATCTGTTGGTACCGAATATTTAAGAAATAAGTGTATGAATTTTCTCATAATATGGCGGTCTCGTGGAGTCATAGTTAGTAAGTTGGGTTGCAATAATATACAATATATATATATATATATATATATATATATATATATATATATATATATATATATATATATATGAAAGGCAGGATGAATGTGTGTAAAGAATGCACGGCCGCAGTTTTCGACGGATTTGCACCAAAATTTACATGCACATGCTCCAAGTTAGCGGGAAGGTCAAGACCGACTTTGCCTTTCCCGACGATAGTGGAAATAATCGATTTTTTTCATGTTTCTACGGCAGAAAGATTCTATTGGCCAGCGTGAGAGCCAACAGCTGACTGACATGAATGTTAACTAGCATGCTAGCATGCAAAAAAAAAACGATAGCTGCATTGGTCACAAGTGGGAAAAATTTAAATTTGCATGGCACTTTACTCCAATTGGCTCATTCGCTTGCTTAAACTCAACGTTGATTCTGATTCCGCAGAACTGGGTTGGGTGTGAAAAACTATTTGTTGTTAACATTCTTTTTTTCATTCGGTTTTTCCAGTTACGAGTCCTTTTTTAAAGCTGATCGTTTTGTGTTCATTTTGTTTAGTCCTTTTTTCGTAACAGATTTAATGTTTAGTATAGAGCTTAGAAAAAATTCGCAGTGTGAGATAGGCATGAAGTAAGGCATGTAGCAACATCAGCACAGCAAAGGGCACTACTTTAATGTCAAGGAGGGGCAAAAATATTTTAAGTCAAGTGATAGCGATTGCTGTATGAGTCGTACGATTTTTGAATGAAGCACAGGCAACGCCGGGTCATGCTGCTAATATATATATATATATATATATATATATATATATATATATATATATATATTTTGTATCTATAAAAAGAACGTATAAACATAAAAAATGTATTAAAATAATCGTCGGTCTTTTTCCATTTCATAATGTGTGACGTCATTTGTTTACATTTGGATACACATCGAGGAGATATGAATATACGAGAGAAATATGGATAATTGTAGTTTAAAATCAGTAAAATCGACCTTTCTAATCGAAACGCTCCTCTGTGGCTAAATCGGCAAAAGCACGTCAGGCTATATGACAGTTCCGTATAGGATGCAGGTTCGATACCTGTCGGAGATCGCATATTGTCTATGACAATTTCTCGGTCATTCCGGCCGGTAAATGTCGTTAATACTGTTTATTATAAACAGAGTATTTACTTAAATATTTGTATCTAGAAAATGAACATATAAACATAAAATGCCTTTTATATATATATATATATATATATATATATATATATATATATATATATATATATATATTGATTTAAATTAATTTTTTTAAAATATAAGCTTTTTTTTAATTTTTGCGCTACACAGTTCCACCATGTTTCTTCAAGCGAATTTTGGAACCCCTTTTAAAAATTAGTAACTTTTAAAATTAAAAGGTTTAGTTCCATTTCATTCTTGAAGATGAAATTTGGAATAATGCTTTTAATTTAATTGCAAAATTAAAATTACCGGGTTTTTAGCTTCTATTTTTGAAACATGGTTGAACTGTGTAAAAAAAATTTTTTAAAAATAAAAATATTTTAATTTCTATATCTAATTGAGCACTTTTTGTAAAATAAAAAATAAAAATCTATAAGAACATTTTATATATATATATATATATAATATATAAATTCGCTTGAAGATGAAATAGAACTAATGCTTTTAATTTAAAAATAAAATTAGGGTTTTTATTCTATTTTTTGAAACATGGTTGGAACTTATAAAATAACCATATTTTAAATCAATTAATTTATATATATATATATATATATATATATATATAATATCCTTATTTTTTTTTTCTCCGGGATTGTACTTACTTAGAAGGCTACGCTTATGATTTTGCACTGCGGTTTCAGAAATCAACTACCGCCCTTCTTATTTTCCCACGCTATGGCTTTTCCAGACAGTTCTTGTATTTGGTACGCAATAATAATTTGCTAATGAGGAGTCTGCTCAACCATCACGAAATGCCTTTTTCGTTTAGTCTTGTGCCAAAGTAAAATATGAATACAACAAAAAAAAAAGTACTTATCGAATACATATTGTGTAAAAAAGAAGAATTCAAAGTGACGAATAGAGAAAATGATCAAGAATTACCATCTATGATTTTCTTCCTGGTTAGATATTCTTATTACTAAGTTCTTCAAGAATGGCTGGGACGCGGGAATTACTTGTATTTTTAACTTGCGGAAGTCACATGATACTTTCCCCTCTTCTTCGTCTTCCCCGAGTAACAATGCGTTAAGCGTAATCTTCTCTTCTGTTCTTTTTTGTTTCAACATTCGAGCAACACGATATACTTAGTGACTCTCTTCATCAGTTACGACAAGTCACTCCCCAACCCAGGTCCGCTTTTCTATTTCATTCTGACAAGTGCATTATTTCTTTCTAATCTTGTAATTACTTCTTCTACTAAAATGTCTTCTTTATTTTTATTTTTTTTTTCTTAAGTGATTTTATAGACTGGTTTAGATTTTACGTCATAGACGTGGGGAGAATTTCCACCCCAAATCGTTCCTTTTCGTGTTTTTGTTTGTTTGCTTTTCACGTTTCTTTTTTTTTTTCCTTCCGCAGATGGAAGAGTTCTTCTTTCTATCTTCGTGTCGATATTTATATTCCCCATCCTTTTTTTTTTCTTCCCATATTTCATTCTTCTTCTCCTATACTTAATTTGCTTCCCTGTTTCTTCTGCATCCGTTTTATACGTGCCTATTCATTATCCTTCTTTTTTCTTTCTTTCTTTCTTTCTTTCTTTCTTTCTTTCTTTCTTGTTTGCCTTCCTTCTCTTGTTTCTCTTTCTATAATCACCCTTTTTATTTTTATTTTTTTTCTCTTCTCAATATACTCCTTCTTCCTCTTCGTCAGTCCTTCTTCTTTTTTTTTTTACATATTCTCCGTCATTTTCTTCTCTTCTTTCTCTTCTTTTTCTTTCCCCTTTTCGTATTAATCTTTCTCTGCATCTTGTTTCTCTATATAGATGTATATGCTTTCCATGTTTCTTTCTCTTCTCCATTTTCCATCTTCTTTCTCTTCTCCATTTTCTTTCCTTTCATGTCTTGTTCTTTTTATCTCCTTCGTTCTCTACTTGTTATTCTTTTTCTTCTTCCTATATCTCTTCTCTTTTTTTTTCTAGGTTTTCTTTCTCTTCATTATAGTATTCTTTCATATATTCTTCGCATCGTTTTTTCTTCTTTGTAGCCATGTTATTTGATTTCTTCTGTAACGTCGTTCTTCTCTTCTTCGTATCCGTCTCATCTCCGTAATTAACTTTTCCCCCTCTTCTCTTTCACCTTCTTCACCCTCTCCTTATTCATATTGTTCTTTCTCCTCTTTGTCTTTCTCCTCTTTCTTTTTTTCATATTATCCTACTTTCTTTCCTTCCCAGCTCTTCTTCGTATTCGTCTTTCTTTTCTTTGTTCATTTTTTGTTTCTTTTCTTTTATTCCCTTCCCAGTGAACCTTCTGCTTTATTTTTCTTTCATTTACTCAACTATCTTCTTGCTTTTTTATTCTTCCTTCTATTTTTCCCAACTCGGCTACTGCTGCTGCTGATTCTTCTTCCTGCCAAGTACCGGATGTTCTTGACAGACGGGCTGGACTGTTTCAAGTTGACTCAGACACTTTACAGAAGATGTGCCATCAGCGAGCAACAAGGTTAGAGTGATTCGCATTGTTGAAAAAAAAAATCGATCGCAATCGGTGAGAGAATTAGTCTATGGCCGGACGTTGAAGACATATGTGTCTGGATCAGTCACGTGTTCTCTTGCTCGTTGCAATGTGGGTGGATATGTAGACAAATGAATACTAAACTCAGCCCTGGCTGACACACTTGAAACGCTATTTTTCTTATTCTTTTATGTTCGTGTCTCTTCAGGACATGGCCCATAATACTTTTCCACATCATTCTTATTTTTCGTACCTCTAAGCATTATTTGCGACTTAATAAATCTCTAGTCCCTATTCTACCATTCATCTATAGAATCTAATTAATTACGTTAATTAAGGTTTCCCTTGAGAAACACGTACACACGCAGGCACGTAAAAACACATACATGTGTGTGTGTGTATGTGTGTGTGTGTATATGCGGAAACCTACCAAACTCCATGCGCAGCATACTAGTAAAAAACAACAAGTATAACATACTTATCCACATGTAAAAAAATATTCAAAACAAAGGCAACACTAATAACTAAAAGAAAAAGCCAAAACTCAATAACATTAACTATGAACACGGCCATAACGGGATGACCGTGTTTGGGAAATAAAACTTTCTTATAACTTCAGACAAAAAGAAAAACTGTCCTTAACAGAATAGCCGAAAGCGCTCGGATATGCAGAACATTTGGGCAATCTTTACACACTTTCTGTCCCGAAAACACTTGTATGAACACAAAAAAAAATTAAATAAAAATCTTAATTGCAATACCTTGTCAGTCGTCGTTAACGAAACTTGTATAAAAGAGGGATTGCTGTGCAAATACTTATATATATATATATATATATATATATATATATATATATATATATATATATATGTGTGTGTATATATATATATATATATATATATATATATATATATATATATATATATATATATATACATTACATTCAAAGATTTGATAAAAATGGGTATACATGATGAAAAAAATGCCACAAACATAATAAAAAACTGTTTTATTGTCAAAATCCTTATGTTAGTATTAAGAGGAAAGACTAAAGGAGATTTGGGAATATTAAATTATATATTTTTTTTATCTTTTTTAGAACTAAAATCGTTAAACATTTTGTTTTCCTTGCAACAGCGGACTCCAGAAATTAGCAAAGGCAATTTTAGCGTCTTTTTTTGCGGTGAAAAATTACAGCGAGTTGGAAATTCTTGCAAAAATTAAATAATTATCTGATTTTAATGACAATTTTAGGACTTATTCACGATTGAATTAAATTATTTTAGAAATATCTCTTTTTTTTCTAGAAGATCTTGATAAAATGTTTTTCTTTACATCTGTTACTCCCACTTATTTAATTTTATGAAATTTCGAGAAATTCTTTTTTGTCTGGCTTAATATTTATATTAGTTTGAAGCAGAATTAATTGGAGAATTTAAATGATCAATTTCTTTTCTTTTTTTTCAGTTGCCGATAATCAGTCCTGATTTGTTACTTAAAAAATGCAATAAAACTAAGAAATTATATTTAATTAAAATTATGGACTGAAGAAAAAACATTTTTTAATGAATAATGAATTATTACAAGTTTCATTTTGAGTATAATAACTTATAAAGTTTTAAATCTTTTAAAATTTTGTATTCATTTTTACAGGTTAGGTGATATTTTTATTAAGTAATAACTATATTTACTAATCATAATTAGAAAAGATTTCTGCAATTTAGCAAGCCCTGTATTTTAAAAATAATTTTGAATTTTCATGTTTGTTTTTCCTAACAAGTCGACCATTGTGAAATTCGAATCCGGGTCTCATGCTCAGAAAGCGAACTTTCTAACCACTCGGACATAGAAACACGGTAATGATAGCATTCTCCGTTTACTCATTAGGAAATATTCGGCATTCATTGACCGGTGATCTCGTGCTGCTATCGATTGAAATTTGTAAAATCTTTCGCTTAAATCCTTTTATGGCGTTCCGAATTCAAGGATCGATGAAGCGTCCCTTCGAAGTTCCAAGAAATTCTTTAAATTCGGAACGCCAAAAATTACACTAACGTTTGTTTAACAAGTCGAATACACGTTAAACCTGACTACCCAATGAAAAATCAATCAGCAAAAAAAAAAAAAGAAAAGCGAAATACTAGAATTTCTTTCTTCTCTTTCTGCATATCTCTTTCTCCGATGAAGCTTTCATAAAAATGATTGATGTTAGATTGATAAAAGTTTCCTATTCCTTCTTTATCATATTATTTTGTCTAGTTCCGATCCATATTTCATCTGTATGTGATACCAGTTCATATATAAACGGATACAGTGTTATCGTATATGTTTGAATCTGCCCAGTAATGTATTAGTAACGATGGATGTATTTGTGAGGAAAGAAGATAAAAAAGAAAGTAGTTAATTTTTCCGTTGTCGATTCAGAAATTCGTTCACTTTCAATACATATCCGTCTTTATGAAATTATTTTGTTTTTAATCAGAACCCCAGAGGATAAATCATAATTTTTGTTAGACCTATTACAGTGAATGACAAATGCACCAAATGTTTGGTAAAGGATATCTCATATTTTATGTATATAATTTTATTTTAAGCAATTCACCCCAAGCAAAGTGGGAGTGCCACTAGGACGGAAGGAGTTACAGAGGGTTAAGAGTAAAGTGGCGTTTTTGGGGAAAGGATAAATAGAAGGATGGAGAAAAAAGATGAAATTATCAGAAGATGTCGATTGACATTACATTTGAATATTTGAAGATTATAGTTATCAGGGAAGCAAGCAAGGTGAAGGGAGTTCCACAGACGGTAAGTGCGAGAGAAGAAGCTGTTTGAGTAGAAGAGACGGTTACATTTAATCGTTCCGACAGTGAACGGGTGGGAACGAGATGCCAGCCTAGTAGCTCGCTTAAATTTATGCAGTCCGGAAACCAGAAAAAAGCAACTCGTCTGAAAAGTTGCCGTGAAAATACTTGTAATAAAGACAGAGGTAAGCCACGGAACGCCTGTGAGAAAGCGACTGTAGACGAGATGCCAGATCAGGACCTATTGCTTTGCACGTTCGTCTCTGGATTTTGTCGAAGACCTCGAGACGTACAGCGGGGGCGCTAGATAATATATGACAACAATATAAAATTTTATTTAATTTTGTCCATATCAAACCAATTTATTTCTTGAGGCGTTTTTCGCTATCAATTTTCGGTATTTCTGCTTCAGGTTAATTATGTTATTATTTTGTTTTCAGTTGATTAAATTGCTTAATGATTTCGATGTTTTCGAGAGATAATTAAAAAAAAATCATTGTTTTTTGGTGGTTTACACATAATGTTATCGAAATTTTCTTTTCTCTCACTCAAAGGATAAGAAGATATCAATTTTAAACTTTCAGTGTTCAAAATACGCTTCGAAAACCTGAGAAACAGTGCATTCAGAATATTTTCCTTAAACGATAAGAATATAGCCCTTAAGCATGGAAAGAGAAAAATCTAATCCTGTTCAGTTACGAATTCGATAAGGTTTACCGAGTACAAATATTCAGGCCGGAGGGTACAGCGATGAAACAAAAATCATTGTTGTATTTACAATCTTGCCTACAGCCGTTAACCCTACCCTAATTTTTTTTTATCACTCCATTGCTTTGCTTTAATATTTTAGCGCATGAAATATTAAGGTGAAAGAAGGGATTCTGCAATTGTATCTTGTTTTTTTTACTAGGTTTTGGCAGATACATAGTAAAAAATGTAATCGTTTTTTTTTTCCAGTAAAAAATGTATTTGTTTTTCTTCAGGAAAGAAGGTATATATATATATAAATTACAGAGGCGTGATTATTAATTTGTAACAACGATGGAGTAATGAATAGCGGATTGAGAACCGAGTTCGAATTCCAATCGAATCCATTATATTCACTTGCGTGCTAATAGCCTTGGGAAAGATATGAATCCTCTCCCACCACCAGTTATGGGTAAATAGCAGAACGGGCCGGGTTCTATAGCTACTCTGCCTCGTCAGTCAAATGGGCTTACGGCCATATCACGTTGAAATACCGTGCTAATGAGCTATATAGAGAAATTGACGCACGAATCCACAAGTGATATATATATATATATATATATATATATATAAGATATTTCTGATCCAAATTACAGGAACAACTCTCCATCTCATATAAAGAAACACGCGTATTAACAAATAAATTTAAATGCAAAAAAGCACACATCTATAAAAACACACTATCAAACCCAACACTCACACAAATAGGCTTACGGCTATGTCACGTTGAAATACCGAAGTTAAGTAATATCGAGCTAGGTCAGTATCGAGATGGGTGACCGCTTATGAATACCAGGTTCTGTAAAGGTTGGATGTCCGGGTGGTTTAATTTATATCGGCTCGGAAATGGAAATTGGTGATCTGTGTCCGAGTACTAGTTGACTACCTTATATTGACTTATGCCCAAATAACCTTGGCAGAGATTTCACCTCTTCACCCTTAGCTATGAGGTAATCAACAGAACCTGTATCAGGGAAACACCATTTATCGCCAAGAAATACTTGATAATCCATTAATAAGAAACAACTCAGTCACGGATGGAGTAACGGGTAGCGGCTCGGATTGAGAGCCGAGTTTGGATTCCAGTCGAATCCATTACATTCACTTACGTGCTAATACCCTTGGGAAACGGTATGAATCCTCTTCTTCACCCCACTCCCTGCCATCTATGGGTAAATAGTAGAATAGATCTGGATAGCAGGATAGACCGAGTTCTATAGTCTTGGATAGCAACTGGTCTGACGCAGAAAGAAATAGTAACCTAATGCAGGAAAAAAAAAATCTGCCTCGTCAGTTATCTATCTTACGATACAGGATCGCCTAAGCGTGTATCACGCATGGCACATAACTGACTAAACACCGAAACGTTAATGATGTAAACGATAAAGTGGTTATCCCTTGCTCGTCTATTTTCTTTCACTGATCGAAAAGATCGAAAGTACTCGAGAGATTAGACATAATTTCAACAAATTTCTTTACAAGTTTCCACCTGTCAGCAAACGACACTTTCTACTCGAGGAGCGACTCAAAAAAAAAAAAAAACTCAAGAGACAATCCTTGTCTGTTCTATTCAATAAAATATATTTAGCGTATTGCTATTGTTTTTACAATAAAATCAATAAGAGATGAAAATGCAATGTTAGCAATCAAGATAATGCTATATCATCTTGTAGGTGTCTGTTATGTTTATATTAAAATGCATTGTAAATGATTTTGAAATTTTAATGGAAAAACCATTTAAAATAATTGCTCATGTCCAGGAATAAAGAGAAACATTACACAGAACAGTTGTCTTTATTGGCTACTCTTCTAGATCTTTTTACATTAATGCGGGTGTCCCCCATTTATCTGCTCTTTTGTTCGGAATTTTTACCATACCTTCCACTTCTCGACGCGGTCTCTATGCTGATGATACAACAATTTACTCTTTATCTTAACGGTAAGCCTGATAAGTTCGCTAAAGTCAATTTGGCATCTGATTACAAAAATACCCTCAATCAGTTGTTAACTGGGGCAAGCAATGGCTTATTAATTTTAACGTCTTATAATAGAACTCTTTTAATCATCGAAGAGAACATTTTTGGCCTTCCATCAGCATGTATGAAGCTAATCTCCAAGAGTCTATAACTTTGCGCATCTTCAGTCTAACGTTTTCCGGTGAGATCAAGTTTAATGATTGTAATGATTCAGTTTCATGATCTGTTGCCGAAACGATGTTTCTCTGTGTTATGCTAGACCATTCTTCACGACAGAATATCTCTGGCAAATTTAAAAGATTGCTCTTGGTCTATCCATTAAGTACTGCTACCACATCTCGTTTTATACTTCCACTATGTACCTAGAGATTCTTGATAGAATCCAAAGCAGAATCTGCAATATTATCGGTCCTGACCAAGCATTACGGCTTCAGCTACTTTCCAATGGTGGTATCGTTGTTTCATGCTAATTATTCGGATGAGCTTTCCTTATTGTACTTCAGCTTCGGAAATTTAAGACCAGTAGGTTGCATCATTTTGCTTATGTAACAGGAAGTTTTATGGTAATAGTTTCATCTTTTGCCAAACTTGCGTGTCGATCACTCTTGTGGCTTCTATCTCTGTCCCCTCAATACCAGTTTCTCTGTTACTTTCCTACTCAGTAACCTCTTCAGATAAAGCAACTAAGACGCATATGATGTATAAGATGATCATGTGTCTCACGATTTCATTCCTATATTATATGGATATTACTATGACTTTTTTGAAAGATGAAGGAGTAGTTTATCTTTGCGCTCCCTTCGGTTTTGAATCCAGTGTAGTCATTCTATTAAACTGTCTACTAATTAACACTAGAGAGTCAAATACAGTACATTTTTAGCTGCGTAAGTATAGATGTGTTTCTGAAGAGCGTTATTAAAAAAGTGAATGCAGTCGAGGAAGTCAGAGTTTAAATTCGGCTCGCTGATCCGGCATTATGCAGCGATAATCTTTGGGCGACCCACACCAGATAAGATACAATGAATCACCATAGAGAAACTTTTCTGCCTGCCCCCATCATGGTTGAATTCCTGGGCAAGACATTAAACTACATCCGCTTCCTGGGTAAGACGATAAACTCCGTACAGCAGCAAGGCTTCTGATCCGGAAGTTTTCAGGAGCGTGGAACCACCTCTTAAATGCTGTTATTCCCAGGTCCACCCTGACCCAGGGTGGTAGCACCTGTTAAGGCCCCATCTATGGGTAAATAGTTAACTATTACCAGTAATAGTTTTTTTTTTAAATTATGACCTGTAATAAAATTTTGAAGGAAAAATATTACCAGAAACAGAATTTTGACAAAACAAAATATTACCAGCAATAAAAAAATGTTGTCGGCATTAATTAACCTATTGAGGTTGATATGCCGTAAAACTAAATAAACCAAACAAATCTAAACTAAAGAATATCTATCCTAAAAATGTTATCGGCATTAAATAACCCATTGAAGTTGATATGCCGTAAAAGAAAATAAACCAAACCAAACCCCATCATGGCTGATGTTAAACTCCTGGAGAGCAACGAACCGCGCTTTCTTGGCCTCAAATTTTCTCAAATGACACGAATACATCGCATCAATAGCTGCATCTACTGCACGGAAATTGGATTAAATATATCGTGCTAGAAAATATTTCTCGTCAGAGTCCAACTTGCACCTTCACAAATCTAACATTCGCCCGTGCATTGAATAATGCTGCCATATCTGGTTTGGTGATCCTGCTATTCATTTCGATAAATCTTGACAAAATCCAAGGAAGGATCTGTAATGTAATCGATCCTGATTTGGCATTTCGACTTCAGTCACTTTCTTACCGACACGGCGTAGCTTCCGTCTGTGTTTTCTACAAATATTTTTAAGGCAACTGCTCTGACGATCTATTTACGCTGGAGCACCGACTACATGAATTTAAACGCTCTACTAGGTTAGCATGTAGGTCCCACCCGTTTACTGTTGAAATCGTTAAATGCAACTGCCATTTTACTGTAACAGTTTCTTTTCTCACACTTTTTGCCTGTGGAATTCCATTCCGTTTACTAACTTCTCTGATAAATACAATCTTTAAAATTTTAAATGCAACGTCAATCGCCATTTTCTATCTTCTTGAATCCCGTTCATCTTTTGTACATTCGTCAGTCCTCTCTATACTAATTTTATTAACCCAGTTTCACTTCTTTAACCCCCTACATACTAGTGACATTTCCGCCTTGCTTGGGGTGATAAGATTAAAAAAAAATAACGTAATTTTGTAGAAAATGAAAAAAAGAACTTTACCTTTTTACCTGCGCATCTCAAAACCGGGATTGCCAAAGGAATACGCAAGCAAAAAATTTCACTCACCTGCAAGAAAAAGAAAAGAAAATTTAGTACAACAAACAGGCTTTACTTTTTAAGAAAATATAATATATATTTATTTGCACTGTCCAGCGCCGATAAGCGTTACGCTACCAGTAAATGCATTACAAAAATTAAAGTATAAAGAAACAGGGGAATTTCGTTAGAAACAAACAAAAGAGCGGTAAATTGCTTTGTGCATATCTAACCTCTTATATGGCCAGGTTCTTCACATTCGGATGATTAAACAAGGGTTCGAATATCACCATTTGTCAGGAAGGTGAATTTTTCACTTTCGAAAGTGCCTGAAAATTATATACCACGGAATGACCCAAGCCTTTTGAGTTAACTTCGTCGATGGCTGTGCTAGAACGATGTCACAAGTCATCGTGACTGAGGGTTTGAGCGTGCTGGCCTTGTTCATATTGTTGATCACTGTACATAACACGCTTCTCTCTTTAAGATCCGATCAGATGGGATCTGTGGGGTTTGAACGCCTGAGCAAGCGTCTTCAATAGGGATTCGCTAGCCGCCATAGTAGACAGGTATACTCGAATACGAGTAGCCAGCAATTAACGTAATCTGTCCTTTGTATGTCCTTGAATGCTGGTCCTACAAAGGCGACTGAGAATTTGGACGAAGTGAGGAAGTCTGAATGAAAATGGTAAGAACATTTATATTCAGAATCAGAAAGAGACTTTCACAATAATATATACTAGAATATATATATATATATATATATATAAGATATAAGATATATATATATATATATATATATAAAGTTACATACATATATATATAAGATATTTATATATATATATAAGATATATAATATATATAAGATATATATATATATATATAAGATATATATATATATATATATATATATATATATATATATATATATATAAAAATTACATACATATATATATATATATATATCATATATATATATATATATATATATATATATATATATATATATACGATAGAAAAAAGAGCAAGATTTATAGGGAAGGAGCACGTCCTTAACTAACGAGCTTGTGCATATGGGCTAGAGCTTTGACAAAAAAAAAAGAGAATGGCTGCTAAGAGTCACGTGGGATAGCCGTTGTACCCTATAGGATAGGTACAAATGATAATAAGAAGACACTAATAGTATATAAATCATATTAATCCATTCATATGTCATTCCTTTCTGGAAAAAAAAGTATCCTTCAGGTAATGCAAACTTTGATTTCAGGTTTCAATCTTTCTTTCCCAATCTAGTAGGCTTTGATCGTTATACATATTTACACACTGCTCATGTAAGGATTTCTAGATGCACTCTGTAGTATAAAGTTCACAGACCTCTGAATATAATTGTATCAAATATTGTAGTTTTAATCTCCGCAGGGTGTTGACGTAATGTATTAAAGACTAAGCTTTAAGATATATAGTGGTTTTCTAAGCGAATGACGTCCAAGCCCGAAAGTATACGGCGCCCAGTACAATTCGGACTCAGTCGTAATTGATTTGGCGAGACAAGTTTAATAAATATTACACCACACCGATGTGCCCAAAATATAGGTTTGCCTGTAGCAGCTTCCAAAATATGATCATTTTTTCCAAATAACTGATTACCGCCTTCAAAAGAAATGAATGTACAAAAATGATCATATTTAGTTCTTTCAGTATTTTATCTTTCCAGGTTTTCTTTCTTTCTTTCTTTTTCCATCGGACATTTTCTTTCTTTCTTTCTTTCTTTCTTTCTTTCTTTCTTTCTTTCTTTCTTTCTTTCTTTCTTTCCACATATTTCTTCTTTCTTTCCACATTTTCCTTTTCTTACTTCCACATTTTCTTTCTTTATTTCTACATTTTCTTTCTGTCTTTCTTTCTCTCTTTCCATATTTTCATTCTTTTTTTCTATATTTTTCTTTCTCTCTTTCTTTCGTTGCACATTTTCTTTTTCTTTCTTTTTCCGTCCCACATTTCTTTCTTTCTTTCTACATTTTCTTCCGTTCTACATTTTCCTTTCTACATTTTCTTCTTTCTTTCTTTTTCTTTCTTTCTTTCTTTCTTTCTTACCACGTTTTCTTCCTTTCTTTTTTCATTCCACATTTTCTTTTTTTCTTACTTTTCCCATTCCACATTTTCTTTCTTTTTCCTTATCAGCCGTCTTTTTTCTCATATAGATTCTTTCCTTTCATTCCTATCTATCTATCTATCTATCTATCTATCTATGTGCGCAAATATATCGATCTTATTCAGTATATATATTTTTATTTCCTTCCCAGAACGTTAGTTTTTATCTTTTTCCAAATTCATGCTAACGATAAGACGATATCTGAATAAAGTCGAAAATTGATATTTTCACACCTTCTATCCATAATAAATAGATAGGTTGATATCAAGTTCATATCTATACAGAATAATGGATCAGCTCTAGGGAAATGCATTTGACGCTTGAGGATCTCATATTCTCTGAATCAACAACGTTGTTCAGAAAATTGTTCAGCCACTTTCCTTCTAGACAAATGAATGCTTTTGATAGTTTTGAACTTTGGGCTTCGTTGTTCGACTGGTGAAACCCGAGTGTAATATAAACAAAGGCGAAGATTTTATTAAAACAAATTTAGTTATTATTCAGATTCTTTTTTTTTTCGACTATGGATGGGGATGTTTTAGTATACGTCACTCACTCCAACACAGAGATATTCACTATGAATTGAGTTTGGAAAAAATGTAATATTTGAAATATAGCAGTTAATTGTATGCTAACCACTGCATTCTCATGTGGAATCTTTATTTTCCTGACTGAAATCGTAACACCCAGTAGAAGACTGATCCTTTCCATTCAAGATATACCAAAAAGAAGCTGATGAAAAACCCATAAAATTTGTGTACTGATATAATCGCCGGTTGAGCAACTATTTCGTTGAATATTGTTTATGTAGCTCTTTTCTTCCGCGTTTGTGTTTGTTACGGTTGCTTTATATATTATGCTGTTTGTTTGGCATTTCTTGTTAAGTAGGCAATTGTTTTTATTTCAACAGCTGCATGTGTTGTTGTTTTACTGATATATCTGTTTTTTTATTATTATCTTATTTTGTTTTATTCTATTTGGCGTGAAATGTGGGCAGACTGACCCAGGGTGGTTTAAGGTCCCAGGCATAGGCAAATAATATACCCCAAACTGAGGTCAGTACATGAAAATATAAAAAATGATTTGCAAAAACTTACAAGTAATACATTTTCATAGTAAACAAAATACCAAGCCTCAAAAGTAATTAAAATTTCGGCATTGAATGACCCATAAGGAGTTGATATGCCGTTAAACAAACAAACCAAACCACCCATATCTACCTTTGAACCAATACTTAGTTAATCTTTTTAATTAAAAACTAATTACAGGATATGAACGTAACTGAAAGTATTTCCTGTTCATGTGTTATAAACAAACGTTAAAATTAGTCCAACAAAGTATCGTTCTTGAATCATGTCCAAGATCGGTAGGATTCTCTGTCTTATCCAATTTGGAAAAGGCAGAATGATGTAATATACTACTGCATCTGATATCTATCCAGTATGTGTCTCATAATATTATTGGAATTTTCATTTTCAAGTTATAAGCAAGACGTCTGTATGGTATATTATATGCACAACTTTCGCAAGGATTCCGAAGGCCCTTCTGTACGGACAACTGGACACCGGTAGGAGCGCACGAAGACACGATGGCGACCTCATATTCGCTTCAAGGAATCTGCAAAAGGAACATGACGGCGACAGACATGGACATTGCGAGGTGTGAAGACGTCGCCAACGATCACTCACGCTGGAGTCGCGATCTGCACCGACAGCTGAATGCAGAAGGGAGGAGAAACGAAGGCTTGTCCCCGGGTAGATGTGTGATCGATGCTCGACTGAAAGAAAACAACTAGGCGACATCGGAGGAGAGCATCTTCACATACATTCACTGCTATTAAAACTGTCACTCCCGTGTGGTCATGTACAGCCGTAACAGATGCTGCACCGCCATCAGCAGTTGAGGCAAAAATATTTGGGCTCAGATCCAAAGTTTCTCGAGACCAACACACTCAATACTAGTTTATATTACACATGTTTTGACTAAAAAGAAGAAAACAGGTTATGAGGCATAATGAGAAGTAATCATTCATTTCATCTTAAAATACGGGTTTCTTTTGAGTAAATCTCATAACGGACAAATGAAAATGAGGAACAGAAATCTGAAAACCCATTGAAACATTATATGAGGCTTTCTAAAAAGAAATTAAGAAATAGGAAAATTTCGTTCGAAACAAAAGAAATAGTGTCGAATGCTATGCAATATCGATACTCCAATATGACAGTGAATGCTGGACTTTGCTGATGAAGAGAAAACTCGAGGCAACAGAAACGTTGCTATATAGTGGTGTTGTGGCAGGTGTAATGCAATGATATAACTTTTATTTTAACAGTATTAGAATTCCTACATGGATTCATTATTGATGGTGTGACGTGGCCGCTCCAGGTTCCGATCCTGGTCACGGCACCAGATGTGACGTCGTCCCTGGGTGCAGCGCTAACTGTGACGTTCTATCCTGATCTACCACGGCGACAGTTGTGACGTCCTCAAACAGCACCACTTGTGACGTCTTCGCCGCGGCGCCAGCTGTTCGCTCCTCGCTGCTCCGTTCGGGTGTCGCTGCTCCAAACGTGACGTCCGCCTGTCGCGTCAGTCGTGTTGTCTCGTCCTGTGACGACCAACTGGCTTGGTATCGGTCGCGGCACCCAAATGTGACGTTCTAACTTTTGGTGATTCGGGTGGGAATCTGGTTAGATTTGATATCAGCCTCGACGTTCCCCACTCGCTTCCAACGCCTGATTACCAAGGTAACTGCACTGATCTCCAGTCTGCCCACCCACGTTGTGAATTGATCTTAGACAGACGAGATCAAACAGTGGTTGGGGCCGTAATGCAAATTGAGTTCAACGGGGGTGATACCACACAAATATGCATAAAAGAAAATAAAATGAAAAATCAAAAAGTTCAAAGTATCAAAGAAAAAGGTAACAAACTTTATGTCTAGTTGTTCGATACATAGGACTGCATCTATCTCCCGACCCGTTCTGTGGATTGTGACACGTCGTTTTCGCTAGGCAAGTTTTAACGCTTGCTTGCTCTCTAAGAAATTTGTGTTTCGGTGTGTCTTTGGACGAAAGTCGAAAAAAAACTTATTTCGGTGGTCTGGTCCTAAGTCGCTCTTCAAAATAATTGTTCTTGGTTGAAGAGGAGTCCGGAATTTTGCGTGAATCTTGGTCAGCAATCTCGATCTATCATCTCTGCCACCAGAGCCCGAACTGATTTCTGCCTGTTGGGGCCTGGCTTTTATTGACGCCGACCAAAACCGAGGTGGGTCTGTTGGCGTCGGGGAGTTCCTCGATAATTCTAAATACATATCCACCTCTTTTATTTCTGGTTAGGGATTTTCCACTCTTTCCATTTTGGGGAACTTTTCTCACCCCCACTTTCTCACCATACTTGAGGGGCGTGAACTGCCCTCCCCACTTCTTCGTAGCAGCTTCTCATACTTACACTCTGGATGGGGGCGTCGACAGCCTTCTTCGTGCGTCACGTGATCACCACTTGACCAATGATGTCTTAGTCGGGCGTGAACAATCCGCGGCTTTGTTTCGGAAAAAAAAATATCTTGCTTAACTAAAAAAACATTATCTTTTGCTTTTCCTTTTCTTCCTTAATCGCCGTATCATTTCTCTGGCCACCAACGGGAAAATATGAACAATGGGGTCATAGTTCTTGTTCCACACGTAGCTTACGTCAGGTATTTTATCGCTAATTTATCAATATGGTTGGTATTCTTAACATGGCCTCAAAAAAGAATTATCCCCAAGTTTTCAGTCAGTCTGACGTCTCCAAGGAAGAAAGAAAAACACCCCTGTGTCCCCACCCATTTTCCTTCGGCACATATTCCTGATAACATAAATTTATTATCGCAGGCAAAAAGTTGTTTTGTCGAAAAGAATTTAAGTTAGCGAGACTGCTTTGTGGGGATTTTAATTTTCCATATCTAACTAAAAAGCTCTGTAGCTACACCTGTGTTTTGTCAATTATCAAAATTAACGTTTTTCAAGTGGACTTTCTTTTTGGCGAACATTTCTTGATAACACAATTCCATTCGCGCAGGCCAAGTAGGAAAATCGATCAACGATTACTCGTAGGTGGCCTTTAATTTTCATATCTGTCCAAAGTCTTTTTTAGTGGCCTGTTTCTCGTTACTTATCGAAATAGCATTTTCACTTGAATTTTTCCTGGGCCTGTAGTCCAGCCATTCGTTTACGTACCTAGATAACATAGCCGTTATCAAAACACACCTGGTTCCTTCTTTCTTTTCCTTTTCCTTTTTTTTTACTCAGAAATTCCCTGTCATTCTAATGACACACTTTTTCACTTGTTACTTATCAATATTTTCATTGTCTCTTAGGCCATGTGTGTGGCTGTTTTATCACCTATGATCCGTCTCGCATTTCTTTCTGCCTTCTTTTCTTTCTCTTTCTTTCTCTGCCTCGTAAATGGTGCCACAATGGTCACAGTCTTAACACATATTAGATATGCAGATGACAGTGTTGATAGCAAACACAGAGAGGAAAATACAGGAACTCTTGAAATATGTAAAAAAAAGAAAGGAGTGAAGGACTAAACATAAATTGTAAGAAGACACTTCGTATGTTTGTCAGGGAAAGGAAACAGCTCAATATGCGAATCACAAATTAGAGATCCCAAAATCAATCAATTACAAAACTTTAAGCATCAAGGAAGTATTCTAACTGAAAGTGGGACATTGAAATACTAAGGTACACTGGGTTAGCGAAAGACGACTTCCAAAATCTTAGTATTAAGAAACTAATTTATCGTTAGAAACAAGGAAAAGAATGCTGAACTGTTATATAATTTCATTTCTCCTATATGGCAGTGAATGCTGGACATTCTCCTCAAAGATGAAGACTAGACTTGAAGCAGCGGGAATGTGGCTCTCCAGAAGGATACTGAAAATAAAATAGACTGAACATGTGCGCAATGTGGAAGTTTTAAGAAAAATGGGAACAAAAGTGACATGCTTAGAATCAGATAAAGCTAGTTGAAATTATTGGGACGCTTCATGGTAAAATTAGGACTTGAAAATGTAACGGGCATAGGATATGTTTAAGCGAATGGGGTAAGAGTGAATCTTATCTAACGAGCAAATGGATTGCGAGCAACAGTAAAGGGGCAAGCATTGCTTAGAG